CGCGAAGCTGGGACACGCTTAGACGAATTTCCACCATGGCGTATCAGATGGGTGGAACAAACAAACAGATAGACAGACTGCGCGGAAGCAGCACAAAACATGATGGACCCACGAACCCGGAAAGGGATATAGAACCGCATGCATGGAAACGTTTTCACGACACCGTATTGGGCGACGGGCACTTCCGCGAGACACCCCGCGAAACATTCCACGAGACACGGGCGACCGTTTTCAACGTTCTCCTGGAAACATTCCACGAGACACCCCGCAAAACAGTCCACGAAACACCCCACGAAACATTCCACGACGACAGGCAACCACTCAACCAAGGCGGTGTGGTCGTGCTGGGGAGTGTTCGTGCTGGGGTGTGGTCGTGCTGGGGGGTGGTCGTGCTGGGGGGTGGTCGTGCTGGGGGGGTAGTCGTGCTGGGGCGTGGTCGTGCTGGGGCGTGGTCGTGCTGGGGCGTGGTCGTGCTGGGGTGTGGTCGTGTTGTGGTGAGGTCGTGCTGGAGTGTGGTCGTGCTGAGTGATGGTCTTGCTGGGGTGGGGTCGTGCTGGGGTGAGGTAATGCTGGGGTGTGATCGTGCTTGAGAAGGCACCTGGAGAAGGCAAATCTCTGGGGCGCCCAGATCCCTCAAGTTCTACACAACAAGCGATTCGCTCGAGACATCCTCGGTAACTCTGCGGAGCAAGCGTTTCGCTCGAGACATCCTCAACACACGAAAGAGTGGCCCGCACTCTGATTTATTGATCGGGATTTCAAACACCAGCGTTTCGCCTGAGACATCCTCAAATTTTAATACGCCGGCCCACCTCGACCTCGATATTCATCTGGGAAAGAATCCGCCGGCCCACCTCAGTTGAGGCACTGGGGACAAGTTTACATACTAAAAGAGAACCCTGGGCATATGCCCTTTCCGGGAAAAATGCCCAAATACGGGGATGGGGATTCCAAAGAACGTGTTGGGATTCCGCAGAAACATGCTCATGGTGTCGCACAAGCATACTAAATCGTCACGGGCAGGGTGGGTGGAAAGCCAGGTTTTTTACCCTCGTACGATGAAATTATTGCTGGATTCCTCGCACGCTGCACAGCAACCGCACGTGCGAATATTAGCACCCCGCAGTTGCGGATAAGAGTGTGCGGGGGCAGCGGGGACGTCGGCAGTCTGCGAGGCTCTGAAGAAGCCCGCCGCAGGGCCTAAACTTTTACAAATGATACAACGGGCCCGGCGCAGGCGACGATTTTTTCGATAAAGCGATGTGGGTGAGTCGCGGGGTGGGCCGCAGATGGGTCGCGGGTGGGTCGCGGGTGGGTCGCGGGCCGAGTCGCGGGTTGGTCGCGGGTGGGTCGCGGGTGGGTCACGGGCGGGTCGCGGGCGGGTCGCGGGCGGGTCGCCCGATGGGTCGCGCGTGGATCGCGGGTGGGGTGGGTCGCGGGTAGGTCGCGGGCGGGTCGCGGGTGGGTCGCGGAACGGGTCGCGGACCGGTAGCGGGCGGGTCGCGGGGGGACGACGACACCAAACAACAAACAACAAACAAACAAACAAACAAACAAACACCCAACAACAACAACAACAATAACAACAACAACAACAACAACAACAACAACAACAACAACAACAACAACAACAACAACAACAACGACGACAACAACAACAACAACAACAACAACAACAACAGCAACAGCAACAGCAACAGCAACAACAACAACAACACTAACAACAGTAGCAACAACAGGAAACAAACAAACAAGCAAACAAACAAACAACAACAGCACCAACAACCAACAACCACAAACAACCAACAACCAACACTCGACAACAAACAACCAACAACCAACAACTAACAACCACAACAACAGCAACAGCAGCAACAATAACGACAACGCCAACGACAACGACAACGACAACAGCATCAACATCAACAGCATCAGCAACAACGCCAACGCCAATGACAACGACAACGACAACAACAATGACAACGACAACAACGACAACGAAAAGAAAAACAAAAACAAAAACAAAAAGTTGCACCGCAGAACCTCATTTCAGCCACGCGCCCAAGGACAGTGAATGACCGATCGGCCCCCTCACTCTGATCTAGGCTTCGTTTGGCTCGTACGAGGGCCTTGACCGAAATACGTCTTTAGAAAGACACTTGTTGAGACCAGGAGTGCCCCGCGCGATCACTACGAGTAGTTGAAGAAGCCAGTTTGCAGGTGATCCGTGCTGGCTTCGGCGATGATCGCACCATGCGGGATAATATCGAAAACGAATGTCCGAAAGCGAGGTGGACAGAAATAGAAAAACCCAAAGACTGCATGAGCATAATCTGTCTCCAATATTAACTGACTACGCAAGTGGCCGCCGAGATGACCAAGCACAGGAAGGAGCACCACCCAGGTAGGCTCACTTTAGCAAAAGCCAAGACATGGCGGCGAAGACGAAGAAATAGATCCCGCCCTCGCAAAACCTGCATTCCCGGATAGTCGGGTCCAC